TTGGAGGTTAAACTCCTGAAATGTTTTTTGCTCGTCTGTAGCTCTGGAGCTGCTGAAGAACGCCATCGCCAAGGCCGGCTACACCGACAAGATCGTCATCGGCATGGATGTGGCTGCCTCCGAGTTCTACAAGGGGGGCAAGTATGACCTGGACTTCAAGTCTCCAGATGACCCCAGCCGCTACATCACCCCTGACCAGCTGGCTGACCTCTACAAGAGCTTCGTCAAGGATTACCCAGGTGAGTTTTAACTCCTTTCTTTTTATTAGCGAATAAAAATGGCAACAGCAGCGGCTTTACCTCAGAATACCAAACATCCACCGTTCTCTCTCAGTCGTTTCCATCGAGGACCCCTTTGACCAAGACGACTGGGAGGCATGGACCAAATTCACAGCCACCACCAGCATCCAGGTGGTGGGAGACGATCTCACCGTCACCAACCCCAAACGCATCGCCAAGGGCGTCGCCGACAAAGCCTGCAACTGCCTGCTGCTCAAGGTCAACCAGATCGGCTCTGTCACAGAGTCCCTGCAGGCGTGAGTGTCCATAACACGGTGGTCCTATTGACCAGATTCAAAGCAGTAAATACACTTTGAGCAGACTGAAACGCTCACCCTTTGTTTTAGCTGCAAGCTGGCCCAGAGCAACGGCTGGGGGGTGATGGTGAGCCACCGCTCCGGAGAGACCGAGGACACCTTCATCGCTGACCTTGTGGTCGGCCTCTGCACTGGACAGGTAATCAATTTAACGCCGACGATGCAAAAAAAACCTCATTGTTCACGTCAAGATCCAATCAGGGTTTGTGATAAAGTGCAATGTTTGATTAAAAAACCTAAATTTGGAAAATGTTACGTACTGTTGAAACCAGATGTTTTCATACACGTAGCAAAGCTGCATTATTACTGAGATTTAACTTTTCAGGCTGAAGTTGAATCAGACTAAGTGTTCTTGTTTTAGACCAGAAAACCTGGAAAATAAAATCTCTAAAGTAACTTTAAGCATTTGCTTTGAGCAGAAAGTTAATTTACCTTAACATGATTTGTTAGGATTGTTTTAATGTGATGAGTTTTTATTCCTAATGGCTCCATCAGTGTAACTGAAATAAAAGTTCTTGTATTTTATACTTTTAACAACATTATTGAAACTGAGTTTTTTTTTGTTCACGTCTCAAAACAAAATTGAGATGTCTAATTTTGCTATATTTTACTTTGTCCCTGCTGTAGGATGTAGAATATGATCACAAGGACCTAACCGTAATAAACTATATACAACTGTCATTTTTAAAATTATATTTTTATCTCAAAGTGGAAAACTTGCTGTAAATGCTTGAGTTTTACTGTGTGAAGTGTATGAACCCTGTGTAACGTATTGCTAAACGTGTTGCAGATCAAGACTGGCGCTCCTTGCCGATCCGAGCGTTTGGCCAAGTACAACCAGCTCCTGAGGTGAGACTTTCCCACAAACGTCCACAAATCCTAAACGAATTCTTCGATTTCTGAGTCTGAAATGGTCGTAACTTTCTCTCAGGATCGAGGAGGAGCTCGGTGACAAGGCCCGTTTTGCCGGCAAGAACTTCAGGCGCCCCATCTGAACCGGGTCAGCTTCCTCGGGCCACTGCGTGTTCATTGCTCATAAATAATCCCCCCACACATGTTGGCCACGCTAGGTTTGCCTCCCCTGTATGGAGTGAAGATGGAAAAGACGCCTCTATCTATTATCCAAGGTCCAAAACTGCGGCGTGGAAAAGCGGTGCCATGTCCCAGTACAGCTATGTGGCTCAGCTCATCTGCAAAATATGCTTTAGCTCCTGAGTAGTGTTGGTCCTTGTTGGTGTCTGTTTCTGTGTGATTTCTTTAAGCTTCCTGTGCGTTGTAGTGATTGTGGTCCTCTGATTATTTGAGCAAAGTTAACTCCAGTAGGGATCTGCCTGAAGCAGTGGTAAGAGCTGTCTACGTTCAATGTTTCGCCTCTGACAAGATCTTGTGTTGCTGTAAGCCCCTACAGAAATGTGTAATAAATAATAGTTTCAAAAGTGTCTGGTTCTTACTCCTGCCCTTCTGCGCACAAACATTCTGCATCATGATTAAAATATTATCCACTAAGGGGAGCATTTACCCAGAAACTAAAGCTTTCCTGTATAAATAATTTCCTCTCAGTGCTGCAAGTTTGTGAGCTGTGAGGGGTTGAAACTTGAGCTCAGGCCTGTGAGACTCCATTTCTGTCCGTCCCCTGGGTGCAGGAATCTGAAGGCTCAGTGTGAGCTCTTTCTACTGAGCACTGCAAAGATAAATGAGGCTCTATTCACTAGTGGCATCGGTCTGCTTGGTTGTGCCTGCTGGGTTTATGCCACATTAATTTGATTTGAGGCTTTCCTGAACCTGTCTACATCGTTTAACCATGGAGATTATTTTTTTTCTTGCAATAAGACAAAACGGGTAGTCCAAAAATGTTTTTTTTTTTAACATTGTTAAAAAAGACAAACTTTATGGATTTAAACCAATTGCAGTGCTAAATGTATTTAATGAGACAGGTGCATGAGTAATTTCACAAAGGAGTTAAAGGACGTTGAAGTTAAGTTTTTGGTGCCATCTCGTGGTCAAAGTGTTGAAATGCAGCTACCATTCACTGACGGTCTAACGTCAGAAACCTGCGGAACGTAGCAGTTGTAGCGTAAATGAAACGTGAATCGGACAGGGGTTTGCCTTCTTAAAATGTCTAGAGATGCCGTGTACTGACGTTTAGTGCTAAAAAGTTACATTTGAATTGAGAAATCGTTAATTTACAGAGTACGGCTCGTCATGCCTTCGTCGGTAGAGTCAAACTTTCTTTTTTTCCCCCTGAAGTACTCCAAGAATTTACTCTAATAAAAATACTTAGAAATAAAGCTAAAGTAGAATGACATTTGATATATTAGAAACTACGTAATCAGACTATGCTCTGCAACTTTAGGTAATTTAAAACTAAAACATGACGATTACAAAATAACATTCAGGCAGATTACGCACTTATTCAAATTTGTTTTAACATAAAACCTAGAGCAAGTATTGTATAAATGTCAAAGTGCTTGCAGGGTCTTTCTGTACTGTCTACTGTACTTGGCATCAACTGGACTGATGGGAAAAAAAAAAAACTAAAGACAAACCAGAAGTTTCATTTAAACTACTGGTGTTTAAATTAAACACAAATCAGAAACTAGACACCTTAGATGCCATCTTAGTCCCTTATAAACTCCAGAGCAGCCAGGGGACCCAACAGGAAACAAGCATCCAGAAACTGTACTGAAACAACAGAAGCAATAATTAATGTTACTCAAATAGAAGTAAAAAGTACAGTGGGGTGAAACTACTCCTACAAACACATTGTTTTCAAAAAGTTACTAAAGTACATAAATGTTCTAGCTGCTACCAACGTCTGGTCAGACACGACTTAGCTTGGGTTAGCATTTTATTCTGTATTTGAATTGTTCTTTGTGAGGCCTGATAATGCGTCTCACAATTTCGGCAAGGAAATGTGTGACTGAAGTTAATTAAATAAGGGTAGATTTTCTCTAGATCGTGTTAAAACTTCACATCTACACTATACAACCCCACATTTGGGTGAACGTACCGTAAAATGCTTTAACCCCTTTTTGAGCCTCTCAACAAGCTTCTAGTGACACTTTTAATGTTTCAGAACTTTTCAGAAATGGCAGAGCTCATTTTAGTTAGTTGGTTTTCTAGCACCAAGCCTACTTTTAAGAAGTTTTCCAATTTTGTGGGAGCAGTAAAAAAAAAAAGGTTTCAAGCAAATCCGCGTTTCTACAGCTAGTTGTTGCTGCAATACGAAGTTGAAAGGTTTGGAGAGACTCTTCCTTCTACATCATTCCACTTGGTTTGTGCACCACACCAGTCTTGCTGGCAGTAGAACAGGCCCTCAGCATGATGCTACTTCTACCATCTCTAGATTTTGTACAGCTAATTTTGTGGGTTCTGCTGTTCAAGTATCTTCTAGTTTATGATAGATTGGACCCTCAGTGGTGGTTCCTGAAAATCTTAATACGTTTAGTTTCTTCTGAGTGTGATGGCGTTTGAGTTTCAGCGGTTGAAATTTGGATACAACTGGTCAGTTATGTCAAACACAAAAAAGTAGACTGCTGAGAAAAAGGCAAATATTAAACTTCTAAAATGTACTGCATTCTTTTCTAGTTATCGGGTTTTGATTATGTCATGCTCCTAAATTGTATACAATGCTGTACTGTTAATGTAATATGTACAATGTACAAAATCTAATGTAAATTACCCTGTGCCAACCACAAAGGTTTATATTTCCATTTTTGTTTGTGTTTGTTCTCTTTATAAGTAGAAAATCAATAAAAAAAATTAAAATAATAATAAAAAAGAAATAATTATAAAAAGTGTATAAAAACTATTAACATTTTTGCATGGAATAGTGCTTAAAATAATAATAATAATAAAAAAAACATTGCTTTCAAAAAACATAAAAAAACAAAACACAGTGTGATTATGGATTTATTTAACCACCAGTAAAATGCACACGGTAATAAATATTTAAATAAAAACTATATCATCTACAATAAATAGAAACAGATACATATATTTTTTCACTTATCACAGAAAGTAAAACACTGACGTTTTTTATGCTACATATATATGATATGTTTTGTAAGTATTTTTTCTTTGTTGCCACTATGTAAAATAAAAATCAGTTTATTCTCTAATCTATTTTACTTGACCTTTGTGCCTTTGCCATACCAAATACTGCATTCTCATGACCCTATTCTATTCTATTCTATTCTATTCTATTCTATTCTATTCTATTCTATTCTATTCTATTCTCTGTGAGTCACAGTGCAGGTTTTCTTCAAGATGAAGAAGATAGCGTTAACGCCTCCAGGACTCCCAGTTGAGCGTGGTGTTTCCAGCTTTGACCAGTGGGTGGCGATATTTCACCGGTTGAACTTTGATAACTCCCCCCCCTCCTCTAACTGCTTTCACCCCAAGATGAAGAAGGATGCTGTCATGCTGAGTACCTCTCATACACACCAGTCTGAGCATCCCGGCAACGATTACTCCCTCTGTATTCTCATAGTCCATCATTTATGACAGCATTATTCCAAAAGCCGCTCGCTTAGTTCCAGCTACATAAGAAAAAGACACACAGGTGGCACTGCAGCTGTTGTACTACTACTGTTGTAGTGGCGACACTTGGCTAACTAACGTTGGCTAATTGCCCCTGCTGCTGCTGCTGCTATTGTTTGTTGTTGCAGTCTCTCATCAAACAAATCACAGATGTTGTAGAGCAAGCTCTTTAAGGTAAGTGCGGTGAGCTGCAATCAGCTTCTTCTTTTCACCTTTGATATACGGCAGTAAATAATAATAAAATGACAAGCGTGAGGAAGTAGTTTGGGAACGCTGTGCTGTTAACGCACATCCTTGTTTGGTAGCTGCTGTTTGCCCCTCACTGTTGCTGGTTACCGTGAACCTAATGTTAGCGGCTAGTGACTAGCACTGATTGGGAATGCCAGCGAGGTGCAGTCTAATGCCTGGAAACAAACGGCTCGTTTACACCGGTTAGCTTAGAGTACTTGCAAAGCACGCAACTTTACATTGTTTTATCTATTGCTTTTTTAAATAATGCTGTAGTGCTATTCATATACAGCATTAGAGGTGTTTTCGTAATTTAAACTCACCTAGTGTAGCGCCTTTATTCCAGGAAGTAGACGCAGCCCAAGGAGCTATTGTCATTAGCTCCAGGAAACGTTAGCCTGCGAAGCTAACTTGCAGGCTTTGTGTGTGTTTACCTTAATTGTTGTTGTGCTGCTCGTAGTTTGTGGTTACTTGAGATGACAACATGGCCTGGTTTTAGACCATACTAAAGCTGAGGTGACTGCACAATCTTGCTGAGTTGTGGAAACATAAAGGAGAAACTTCCAAAATGTGTCTGTGGCTGAAATTTGACAGCAAATGATGCAGAATTAACTCTAAACTGTTAAAAACAATAACTGCAAAACTAAAGGTGCACTGTCCAGAAGTTAGGTTTGCAGGATTTGCATTTTTATCTAACAAAGAGTTGCATAATTAAAGGATAAGTGATGTAATGCAAGTTTAATAATAGTAAACAAACATTTTTTTTTACTGCATTGGATAATAAAGATGTCAGTTGAACTCTTATGACAAAATCTGCACATTTTTATTGCAAAATATAAAGTGTGTTATGGTTCTTGTGGCAGTGTTTTGGTATTTTTCCAGCCTTTTTGCCCGATAAACTGAATTTCACTGCAGCTAATGAACATGCAAGCAGATCAAAGGAGAGAGAAACATTTGTTTTCCTTCCAGTGTGCCGAAAGAAACAGATTTCAGTGTTGACGGCATCTGCATTTTCTCACTTGTAACCATTAGGCTGGATGCAGGGAAATCCTTCATAGGTGCCCTGACAACATTTGGCTTAATAACAAACTCACCGCTACATCTTATTGAGTAGCTTAAAAAGGAAAGGTTTTGTGCTGTGCTGCTGCACCTCTCTAAGCATCTAAATAATCCCTGGCAACTGCTCAGATCTGTGAGTAATGGCATGCTGGATAGAGGAGACACGGTGCAGAAAATGAAACTTCATACACACATGTGGTTTGTAATGTTTGGTCGCTCGGTTTGTCACAGTTGTTACATAATCATCTGAAGGGATGTAGTTGTGCTGACTCCAGCTGAATCGTGTCCAGTAACTTTGATAAACTGGTAAAAGCCACATCAAACAGACAAAAAAGTCATGTTTGTTTTTATTTTGAATCTTATCTTCATATTGTTTTGGTCTGCTTGAAGCTTGATTTTTCATGACTTTTATGCATTGCTCTTGTTCCAATGCTCTTTTAATTGAGGTAGTAAAAATAATACATTTTCATGCTTCTGTCGAAGGTGTGTGATTAGTAGCACAGAAATTTCTTAACGAAAAGTCAAACTAAAAAAGGAAGTGCCAACAGCGTGAACTTGTCAACTGGTAGTACGTTAAAGTAGAAATACAAGCATTTGTATCCTCAGCTCGGCTTGTGCAAGGTTAAACCAAGATGATTTTTTGATTTAAAATACAAAATCAAAAATTATTCCCACTGAAGAAATAAAGTAGCATTAATTATTTATAGATATAATAATGCCATCTCTAACAGCCGTTTATTTGGATTTTGATGCCTAGTATTGAAGCAGAATTGCATATTAAACACCCATTTAATTTAGCAGTAATTTTCAGGTACTATTTCAGGTATTTTGCACAGAAATATAATAAGTGCTGTGAGTTTTATAGAGTAATTAGTATTACAGGCTAGCAATAACAGGTTATTAAGTTTGACTCAGCTTGTATAGAGCAAACAGTCAAACAAGACATGTAGGTTATTAGCTGTAGTTTAAAAAAACAAAACAATATCTTGGTTTCCAAACAATAACTACGTGTTTCTTGTGACCAGACATATTCCAGAGTTTGTCTTTCTTGTTAGCAGGAGAAAGAAAAGCTTTGGACCGTTCTTTCAACCAGCTGACTATAAGTGCACTACAACAGGTGAAGCAGGGGCACTGATGCACTTGATGCTCCACACAGACGGAGAACATTCAGGTTTCTCTGGCCATTTTCCTGAGATTAAATTAAAATAATTCTAAACCGCTAGAAGAGCCAGGGCTTGAGCAACATCTGGAACAAACCCGGTTGTGGTTTTGTTGCTGAGTTTTGCAGTGACGGCATCGATGAGGATATTTCTTTTTTCCTTAATCACAGCGTTCTCACCATTTTTTGTGAGCTTTAACCTGTCAAAAATATACATCTGTTGTGGACATAGAGAGCGGTATTATAAACACACAGAATCTAATCTACAGCTGAAATCCGATTCCATCACGTATTGGCTGATCCAAACAGTCCCTTTTGATTCCCATGATGACGGTTGGGGTTTGATAGATTGTGTTGTTCTTGTTGGATCGATATGATGGCAAAAAACAAACAAAAAAACGAGCAGTTGTGAAACCAGAACTTTTTCAAGGTTTCCCCGAGGACACCTGCTAAGCCCGGTGGTGGGGTGCTAGGGCAGTTATTCATTCAATATTTTATTTTTTATTTTTTTGAGTTAAAAATGTTTAAAGTTGACAGGAAATTTGAAAATATCACTTGATAATTATGTGTTGTTGAAAAATTGGAAGATTAATACCTGAGCACCAACTATAAAGTCTTAAAAAATGCAGACATTTTAAAAAGACTTGAATAAATAAGCAATGCTTAGCCTGGTGGGGGCACAAGTAAAGCCTGGTGGCCTGCCAGGCTTATAATACCCTGAGGGAAACCCTGTTTTTAACCCCTCTGTCTACCACAATTCTGGTTACATGGCTCGTGGTTATCAACAACCAATCCTATTATATTCTTTCTACTACTAGCTGATAATGACCGGACTATGCGAGCAGTGTAAAACGATGATTTAATATTTGCATAAAGTAAGAGATTAGCTTCACATTATTATCTCTTTTTGGCTTTAATGATTCACTTTTCATTGCTGAGCTCAATAATCATCATATTTCAGATGCCTGGTGGTTTGTATTTCATTCTGGCAGTCTTCAGTGGCTGTGACATAGGTTTTCTTTACTCACCGTTTAAAATATAGACTTGCCTTGTTGAGGTACAGAGATCTGCCATTACCGGCTGTGCGTTGATTACTGCTTCACCACCGCTCTGACTGAAAACCACCTTAATGGGTGGTTCTTGTTCAGCTGAAATTCCTTGGGGTTTGTGTGGAGGATAATTTACAATGGCTCAAAGCAGAACTTTTGCGGCCTTTTGTTTTGCTTTCTGCCGTGGCGCTCGCGGTTCTGTCAGGTGGTACGTGTTGCTTTTTTTTTTTTTTGAGTGGTCTGCAAAGTCGCACATCCGACGACACACCCTGCCTATGGGAGGGTAATCCGGTGGGGTTGCTGTAGCACCGGAGTCATGATAAGTGAAGTGTAATAAACCTGCTATTTCCCTTTAATGACTAGTATGTGTTTGAGTAATGGCAGCTGGCTGTGAGTAATATGTGGCAAAGGCCAGACAATGATGAGGAAAATCCTTTTTCCCCTGTGCTCCGACACCTCTTTGTTGGATGACGTGTCAATGCACACACGGTCTGGTGTTCATTATTACCATGTTCCACACAAATGGCAGCTTGCTGGGTTTTTATTTTTGTTTTTTTTTCCCACCTTTTGTTATGAGAAATGGTTTCACCTTAAAATCCTCCTGTTCTCTCCGACTGCCTCGTCCTGTACCATTCCAGGCTTGCGGCATTGTTTTATGGCGCATGATGTCGAGGTAAGCTTGAACTGTAAGAGGCTACTGTGTCGTTTCAGAGAGGAGGTGATTAGAGCTGATTTGTTGTTTTATCCAACACTGTTTGGTTGCTGAGAGATGTAGGTAAGCAGGGAAACGGATGTTGTCAAGCGCCTGCTAAGAAATAAAGCTCGAACGATTAGGCATACTTGTAGCAAATGTAAGGCAACGGACAAAAAAAAAAAAAAAGGGGGGGGGGGGGGGGGGAAGGCAAGTAGACTTTCCTTTGTGGTGTTCAGTATCTGTTTCATTGCTAGATATCTGGCGGTTACACAGAAAATTAATGCCCTTAACAAAGGAGCAATGTTCGCTCAAAGACCTCTTGATGGGCAATTCAAGTGCTGTATATTCATTAAAAATAACAATCTGTCAGCACTTACTGACAGCACGCACAACAAGCCAAGCTCTCTTTATTGTTCTCCGAAGATGTTTTTCAGTTCCCGTGCCAAGAGCAGGGTAATTGGCTGTAGCAAAGCCGTGCATGTGTTGTTTTAAGATATTGGACTGACACGCACAGGGCACACTGGCAGAAATGATGCGAGCAGCCCCCTCCCCTGCCTCTTTCTCCCCCCCCCCCCCCCCCCCCCAGCCTCTCAGCATGTCAGAGAAAGGAAAGACTAGATGCGTTTTGTGTTGTGTGACAGCTTCCCTTCACCTCTCATAAGAGGAGATCCAAGCACGCCGCATCTTCTCTCATCTTTGTTTGATTCGGGCCTAGCTCTGCAGCTCCAACAATTGTGCCAAGGAGATGGTATCGGCAAGCGCCGCTCGTGTTAACAATTGTGAACTGTCTTGCCGCATGCCGCCGGTGGTGTTTGATGTACTAGATGTGATCAAATCTGTTTTCTGCGCGAGTCAGCCTCGTCTTCATCTCGCAAATGCCGCCTGGATCCTCCTGGTTGGCTTGGCATGCATGCATGCATCGTAACTAATAAGGCACAGCGCATTTTGCCATTGCCGCGGCTCTCTGCATGTTTTCTGTGTTGGA